GTTGTAATGCTACTATACAGTGAACAAGACTCGGCCAACTGAAGGGGTGAATGTGTGGCTTAAATAGTGTGTGTTAATCAGTCTCTGAAAGTCCTCAGGTGTGCAAATGTAATCAAGCTAGATGAGAAAGCAGGTGTGTGGGTGAAGAGCATGTATGAAGTTGAAGTCCTTTTACTGGCAGAAATGTAGTTTTATGAATGAGTTTTTACCAGCAACATCTGATGGTTGTTCGCTGGTGAACATGACGCTCCTACAGCCTCTAAAATATTCAGGTCTGGACCCTGTGAAGGCCATTCCATGACTGTTTGTGTTTCATCAGCCATTTTCTTTCTCAAATTAGGATTTCACTGCAAATAGCAGATCATTATCCTGTTGAAAAGGAAAAATATTACCACTGAAATGCTTTCCGGAAAGAATGGTATGATAGATTAAAACTTATTTGTAATTTGCAACATTCACAATTCCATCAATTCAGGCAATATTGCTAACAACACTGGTAGAAATGCAGCTCAAACCAGGACAGTCTCCCTTTCTCCATTATTGTATTTCGTAATTAAACCAAAATAATTAAAACTCTAACATAACCTAGCTCCTATCCTAACAAACAATACATCAACTGAAATATAATTTATTCACTCTGTATAAACCTCGATAAAAAAAGACAAAAAATTAACACTTATGACTTATTTGTGGGAAAGGCTCACATATATCCATTACACCATCTGTAAACCAACAGATTGAATGGCCTAAAACTTTTGTACAGTACTGTATATTATAAGCATGACTGAAGAGGAACAAATAAAAATTAAAGCTGCAAGCAGCGATGATAGGGACCTCGCACCCGGGCTCACCGCCGCCCGGTGACCTTACGATGACAGAGAACAGCGAACAATATTAATTTAAGCCAATATATAAAAAAATCTAAGAAAATCACAGATTTATGCCAAACTTCCTCCTGTCAGCAGGTGGCGCTATAACTGTGACTTAAGATTGGCATGTAGATGTCTTCCGGAGAGGAATCTTATCAACCATGTGAAGTTTCAGGCACATGGGACATTGTGTGGCTGAGTTATAAGCCAAACTACCTTCTGCCAGCAGGTGGCGTTATGACTGACTCAATATTGTTATGTGGATGTGTTCAGGAGAGGAATTTTATCAACCATGTGAAGTTTCAGGCAGATCAGAGATTGTGTGGAGATTGTGTTTAAAGACAAACTACATTCTGCCAGCAGGTGGCGCTATGAAAGACTCAATATTATTTTGTAGATGTGTTTAGGAGAGGACTTTCATCAACCATGTGAAGTTTCAGGCAGATCGGACATTGTGTGGCCGAGTTACAAGCCAAACTACCTTCTGCCAGCAGGTGGCGCTATGACTAACTCAATATTGTTATGTAGATGTGTTCAGGAGAGGACTTTTATCAATCATGTGAAGTTTCAGGCAGATCAGACATTGTGTGGTTGAGTTATAAGAAATTCCTGTTCCATGGCGAAGCGTTGAGGTTTGTCATGCCACCACAGACAAGCCCCTCTGCAAAAACTCTAGATCTTTACAATATATCATCACTAGAGCTTTCAGATGACACCACTCTATTTTGGTGCTGATACGGGAAAGCTTGTGGAAGGAGTTTGTTACAGTGTCAAACATGTCATTTCCTGTGGCCAGCAGGTGGCGCTATAACTGTAACTGGATATCGGCATGTAAACCTGTTCAGGTCAGGACTGTTATTAAATGTGTGAATTTTGAGGCAGATCGAATATTGCATGCCAGAGTTATAAAGACTTCCTGTTTTGTGGCGAGTCGTCAAAGTTTGCGAGGCCGCCACGGACACGCCCATCGACGAAAACTCTAAAGCTTCGCAATTTAACATCGCCAAGGCCTTTAGATGACAAAACCGAATTTTGGTGTTTATCAGATAAAATCCCTAGGAGGAGTTCGTTAAAATACAACACCTGAAAATGGCAAAAGCGCCACTTTTTCGCCATAGGAAGTTAAAAATATCCGACTTCCTGTTGGGTTTGAGATATGGCTCCAAGAGACTTTTTCGTATGTTTTGCCATGTTTGAGGTGTGTGCCAATTTTTGTGCATGTGCGTGATTCGTAGATCGGGGGCTTGTCCGTTTAATTTTTCTAGGTGGCGCTGTCGAGTCATTTTGCCGCGCCCACTTCAATATTGTTATGTGGATGTGTTCAAGAGATGACGTTTATCAACCATGTGAAGTTTCAGGCAGATCGGACATTGTGTGGTTGTGTTATAAGGACTTCCTGTTCCATGGCGAAGCGTTGAGGTTTGTCATACCGCCACGGACACACCCCTCTGCGAAAACTCTAGATCTCTACAATATATCATCGCTAGAGCTTTCAGATGACACTACTCAAATTTGGTGCTGATACGATAAAATTTGTGGGAGGAGTTGGTTACTCCGTAAATCATGTCATTTCCTGTGGCCAGCAGGTGGCGCTGTAACTGTATCTGGATATTGGCATGTAAACGTGTTCAGGTCAGGACGCTTATCAAGCGTGTGAATTTTGAGGCAGATCGGGTAATGCATGCCTGAGTTATAACGACTTCCTGTTTTGTGGCGAATCATCAAAGTTTGCGAGGCCGCCACGGACACGCCCATCGACGAAAACTCTAAAGCTTCGCAATTTAACATCGCCAAGGCCTTTAGATGACAAAACCCAATTTTGGTGTCAATCGGATAAAATCCCTAGGAGGAGTTCGTTAAAATACAACGCCTGGAAATGGCAAAAACGCCACTTTTTCGCAGCAGGAAGTTAAAAATATCCGACTTCCTGTTGGGTTTGAGATATGGCTCCAAGAGACTTTTTCGTATGTTTTGGCATGTTTGAGGTGTGTGCCAATTTTCGTGCATGTGCGTGATTCGTATATCGGGGGCTCGTCCGTTTAATTTTTCTAGGTGGCGCTGTCGAGTCATTTTGCCACGCCCACTTCCGAAGCCCATAACAAACGTAAATTTTCGCCACTTCTGAGGCGTGTGCAAAGTTTCGTGAGTTTTCGGGCATGTTTAGCCCCTCAAAACCGCGATTCATTCCGCGGAAGAAGAAGAAGAAGAATAATTAAAGCTGCAAGCAGCGATGATAGGGACCTCGCACCCGGGCTCACCGCCGCCCGGTGGCCTCAGGATGACAGAGAACAGCGAACAGTAATAATTTAAGCTGATATATTTAAAAAATCTGAGAAAATCACTGATTTATGCCAAACCTCCTCCTCTCAGCAGGTGGCGCTATGACTGTGACTCAAGATTGGCATGTAGATGTCACCAGGAGAGGAATCTTATCAACCATGTGAAGTTTCAGGCAGATCGAACATTGTTTAGCTGAGTTATAAGCCAAACTGCCTTTTGTCAGCAGGTGGCGCTACGACAGACTCAATGTTGTTATGGAGATGTGTTCAGGAGAGGACTTTTATCAACCATGTGAACTTTCAGGCAGATCGGACATTGTGTGGCTGAGTTATAAGCCAAACTACCTGTTGCCAGCAGGTGGCGCTTTGACTGTGACTCAATATTGGCACGTAGATGTCTTCAGGAGAGGACTTTTATCAACCCTGTGAAGTTTCAGGCTGATTGGACATTGTGTGGCTGAGTTATAAGCAAAACTACCTTCTGTCACTAGGTGGCGCTATGACTGACTCAATATTGGCATTTAGATGTCTTCAGGAGAGGAATTTAATCAACCATGTGAAGTTTCAGGCAGATCAGACATTGTGTGCCTGAGTTATAAGCACTTCCTTTTTCATGGCGAAGCGTTGAGGTTTGTCATGCCACCACATACACGCCCCTCTACGAAAACTCTAGATCTTCACAATATATCATCGCTTGAGCTTTCAGATACACAACCAACCAAATTTGGTGCTGATATGAAAACATTTGTGGGATGAGTTTATTACTTTGTAAATCATGACATTTTCTGTGGTCAGCAGGTGGCGCTATAACTGTATCTGGATATCGGCATGTAAACTTGTTCTGGTCAGGACTCTTATTAAACATGTGAATTTTGAGGCAGATCGTATAATGCATGCCTGAGTTATAATGACTTCCGGTTTTGTGGCGAATCGTTAAAGTTTGTGAGGCCGCCACGGACACGCCCATCGACAAAACCTCTAAAGCTTCGCAATTTAACATCGCCAAGGCCTTTAGATGACAAAACCCAATTTTGGTGTCGATAGCATAAAATCCCTAGGAGGAGTTCGTTAAGATACAAAGCCTGGAAATGGCAAAAATGCCACTTATTTGCCGCAGGAAGTTAAAAATATCCGACTTCCTGTTGGGTTTGAGTTATGGCTCCAAGAGACTTTTTCGTATGTTTTGGCTTGTTTAAGGTGTGTGCCAATTTTCGTGCATGTGCGTGATTCGTAAATCAGGGGCTCTTCCGTTTAATTTTTATAGGTGGCGCTGTCGAGTCATTTTGCCACGCCCACTTCATTATTGTTATGAGGATGTGTTCAGGAGAGGACTTTTATCCACCATGTTAAGTTTCAGGCAGATCGGACATTGTGTGCTTGAGTTATAAGGACTTCCTGTTCCATGGCGAAGCGTTGAGGTTTGTCATGCCGCCACGGACACGCCCCTCTGCGAAAACTCTAGATCTTCACAATATATCATCGCTAGGGCTTTCAGATAACACAACCCAAATTTGGTGCTGATACAAAAAAATTTGTGGGAGGAGTTTGTTACGATGTAAAACATGTCATTTCCTGTGGCCAGCAGGTGGCGCTATAACTGTATCTGGATATTGGCATGTAAACTTGTTCAGGTCAGGACTCTTATCAAACGTGTGAATTTTGAGGCAGATCTGATAATGCATGACTGAGTTATAACGACTTCCTGTTTTGTGGCGAATCGTCAAAGTTTGCGAGGCCGCCACGGACACGCCCATCGATGAAAACTCTAAAGCTTCGCAATTTAACATCGCCAAGGCCTTTAGATGACAAAACCCAATTTTGGTGTCGATCGGATAAAATCCCTAGGAGGAGTTCGTTAAAATACAACGCCTGGAAATGGCAAAAACGCCACTTTTTCGTCGCAGGAAGTCAAAAATATCCAACTTCCTGTTGGGTTTGAGATATGGCTCCAAGAGACTTTTTTGTATGTTTTGGCATGTTTGAGGTGTGTGCCAATTTTTGTGCATGTGCGTGATTCGTGGATCGGGGGCTTGTCCGTTTAATTTTTCTAGGTGGCGCTGTCGAGTCATTTTGCCACGCCCACTTCAGAAGACCATAAAAAAGGTAAATTTTCGCCACTTCTGAGGCGTGTGCAAAGTTGCGTGAGTTTTCGGGCTTGTTTAGCCCCTCAAAATCGCGATTCATTGGAGAGAAGAATAATAATAATAATTAAAGCTGCAAGCAGCGATGATAGGGACCTCGCACCCGGGCTCACCGCCGCCCGGTGGCCTCAGGATGACAGAAATCAGTGAACAATAATATCTTAAGCTGATATATATAAAAAACTTGAGAAAATCACAGATTTATGCCAAACTTCCTTCTGTCAGTAGGTGGCGCTAGGACTGTGACTCAATATTGCAATGTAGATTTGTTCAGGAGATAAATTTAATCAACCATGTGAAGTTTCAGGCTGATTGGACATTGTGTGGTTAAGTTATAAGGACTTCCTGTTTCATGGCGAAGCATTGAGGTTTGTCATGCCACCACATACACGCCCCTCTGCGAAAACTCTAGATCTTCATATTATATCATCGCTTGAGCTTTCAGATACACAACCAACCAAATTTGGTGCTGATATGAAAACATTTGTGGAATGAGTTTATTACTTTGTAAATCATGACATTTTCTGTGGCCAGCAGGTGGCGCTGTAACTGTATCTGGATATCGGCATGTAAACTTGTTCTGGTCTGGACTTATATTAAACATGTGAATTTTGAGGCAGATCGGATAATGCATGCCTGAGTTATAATGACTTCCGGTTTTGTGGCGAATCGTTAAAGTTTGCGAGGCCGCCACGGACACGCCCATCGACAAAACCTCTAAAGCTTCGCAATTTAACATCGACAAGGCCTTTAGATAACAAAACCCAATTTTGGTGTCGATAGCATAAAATCCCTTGGAGGAGTTTGTTAAGATACAAAGCCTGGAAATGGCAAAAATGCCACTTATTTGCCGCAGGAAGTTAAAAATATCCGACTTCCTGTTGGGTTTGAGTTATGGCTCCAAGAGACTTTTTCGTATGTTTTGGCATGTTTAAGGTGTGTGCCAATTTTCGTGCATGTGCATGATTCGTAGATCAGGGGCTCGTCCGTTTAATTTTTATAGGTGGCGCTGTCGAGTCATTTTGCCATGCCCACTTCATTATTGTTATGAGGATGTGTTCAAGAGATGACGTTTATCAACCATGTGAAGTTTCAGGCAGAGCTGACATTGTGTGCTTGAGTTATAAGGACTTCCTGTTCCATGGCGAAGCTTTGAGGTTTGTCATGCCGCCACGGACACGCCCCTCTGCGAAAACTCTAGATCTTCACAATATATCATCGCTAGGGCTTTCAGATAAAACAACCCAAATTTGGTGCTGATACGAAAAAATTTGTGGGAGGAGTTTGTTATGATGTAAAACATGTCATTTCCTGTGGCCAGCAGGTGGCGCTATAACTGTATCTGGATATTGGCATGTAAACGTGTTCAGGTCAGGACTCTTATCAAGCGTGTGAATTTTGAGGCAGATCTGATAATGCATGCCTGAGTTATAACGACTTCCTGTTTTGTGGCGAATCGTCAAAGTTTGCGAGGCCGCCACGGACACGCCCATCGACGAAAACTCTAAAGCTTCGCAATTTAACATCGCCAAGGCCTTTAGATGACAAAAGCCAATTTTGGTGTCGATCGGATAAAATCCCTAGGAGGAGTTCGTTAAAATACAACGCCTGGAAATGGCAAAAATGCCACTTTTTCGTCGCAGGAAGTCAAAAATATCCAACTTCCTGTTGGGTTTGAGATATGGCTCCAAGAGACTTTTTTGTATGTTTTGGCATGTTTGAGGTGTGGGCCAATTTTCGTGCATGTGCGTGATTCGTGGATCGGGGGCTTGTCCGTTTAATTTTTCTAGGTGGCGCTGTCGAGTCATTTTGCCACGCCCACTTCCGAAGACCATAATAAACGTAAATTTTCGCCACTTCTGAGGTGTGTGCAAAGTTGCGTGAGTTTTCGGGCATGTTTAGCCCCTCAAAATCGCGATTCATTGGAGAGAAGAATAATAATAATAATTAAAGCTGCAAGCAGCGATGATAGGGACCTCGCACCCGGGCTCACCACCGCCCGTTGGCCTCAGGATGACAGAGAACAGCGAACAACATTAATTTAAGCCGAATTTTATAAAGAACCTGAGAAAATCACACATTTATGCCAAACGTTCTCTTGTCAGCAGGTGGCGCTATGACTGTGACTCAAGATTTGCATGTAGATGCCTTCAGTAGAGGAATCTTATCAACCATGTGAATTTTCAGCCAGATCGGACATTGTTTGGCTGAGTTATATGTAATTTCCTGTTGCCAGCAGGTGGCGCTATGACTGTCGCTCAATATTGCAATGTAGATGTCTTCAGGAGAGGAATTTAATCAACCATGTTAAGTTTCAGGCAGATCAGAGATCGTGTGGCTGAGTTATAAGCCAAAATACCTTCTGCCAGCAGGTGGCGCTATGACAGACTCAATATTGTTATGTGGATGTGTTCAGGAGAGGAATATGATCAACCTTGTGAAGTTTCGGGCAGATCGGACATTGTGTGGTTGAGTTATAAGCATTTCCTGTTCCATGGCGAAGCGTTGAGGTTTGTCATGCCGCCATGGACACGCCCTTCTGCAAAATCTCTAGATCTTTACAATATATCATCGCTAGAGCTTTCAAATAACATCACTCAAATTTGGTGCTGATATAATAAAGTTTGCGGAAGGAGTATATTACAATGTAAAACATGTAATTTCCTGTGGCCAGCAGGTGGCGCTATAACTGTATCTGGATATCAGCATATAAACGTATTCAGGTCAGGACTGTTATCAAATGTGTGAATTTTGAGGCAGATCGGATAATGCATGCCTGAGTTATAACGACTTCCTGTTTTGTGGCGAATCGTCAAAGTTTGCAAGGCCGCCACAGACACGCCCATCGACGAAAACTCTAAAGCTTTGCAATTTAACATTGCCAAGGCCTTTAGATGACAAAACCTAATTTTGGTGTCAATCGGATAAAAACCCTAGGAGGAGTTCGTTAAAATACAACGCCTAGAAATGGCAAAAATGCCACTTTTTCGCCGCAGGAAGTTAAAAATATCCGACTTCCTGTTGGGTTTGAGATATGGCTCCAAGAGACTTTTTCGTATGTTTTGGCATGTTTGAGGTGTGTGCCAATTTTCGTGCATGTGCATGATTCGTATATCGGGGGCTCGTCCGATTAATTTTTGTAGGTGGCGCTGTCGAGTCATTTTGCCACGCCCACTTAAATATTGTTATGAAGATGTGTTCAGGAGAGGACTTTTATCAACCTTGTGAAGTTTCAGGCTGATCACACATTGTGTGGTTGAGTTATAAGGACTTCCTGTTCCATGGCGAAGCGTTGAGGTTTGTCATGCCGCCACGGACACGCCCCTCTGTGAAAACTCTAGATCTTCACAATATATCATCGCTAGAGCTTTCAGATAACACCACTCAAATTTGGTGCTGATACGATAAAATTTGTGGGAGGAGTTTGTGACACTGTAAAACATGTCATTTCCTGTGGCCAGCAGGTGGTGCTATAACTGTATCTGGATATCGGCATGTAAACGTGTTCAGGTCAGGACTCTTATCAAACGTGTGAATTTTGAGGCAGATCGGATAATGCATGTCTGAGTTATAACGACTTCCTCTTTTGTGGCGAATCGTCAAAATTTACGAGGCCGCCACGGACACGCCCATCGACGAAAACTCTAAAGCTTCGCAATTTAACATCGCCAAGGCCTTTAGATGACAAAACCCAATTTTGGTGTCGATCGGATAAAATCTCTAGGAGGAGTTCGTTAAAATACAAAGCCTGGAAATGGCAAAAACGCCACTTTTTCGCCGCAGGAAGTCAAAAATATCCAACTTCCTGTTGGGTTTAAGATATGGCTCCAAGAGACTTTTTTGTATGTTTTGGTGTGTTTGAGGTGTGTGCCAATTTTCGTGCATGTGCGTGATTCGTGGATCGGGGGCTCGTCGATTTAATTTTTCTAGGTGGCGCTGTCGAGTCATTTTGCCACGCCCACTTCCGAAGCCCATAACAAACGTAAATTTTCGCCACTTCTGAGGCGTGTGCAAAGTTTAGTGAGTTTTCGGGCATGTTTAGCCCCTCAAAACTGCGATTCATTCCGCGGAAGAAGTCGGAAGAATAATAATAATAAACGGAGCAATTCCAATAGGGCCTTGCACCGTTCGGTGCTCGGTCCCTAATAAACGGAGCAATTCCAATAGGGCCTTGCACCGTTCGGTGCTCGGTCCCTAATTAAAGCTGCAAGCAGCGATGATAGGGACCTCGCACCCGGGCTCACCGCCGCCCGGTGACCTTACGATGACAGAGAACAGCGAACAATAATAATTTAAGCCAATATTATTTAAAAAATCTAAGAAAATCACAGATTTATGCCAAACTTCCTCCTGTCAGCAGGTGGCACTATAACTGTGACTCAAGATTGGCATGTAGATGTCTTCTGGAGAGGAATCTTATTAACCATGTGACGTTTCAGGCACATGGGACATTGTGTGGTTGAGTTATAAGCCAAACTACCTTCTGCCAGCAGGTGGCGTTATGACTGACTCAATATTGTTATGTAGATGTGTTCAAGAGCGGATTTTTATCAATCATGTGAAGTTTCAGGCAGATCAGATATTGTGTGGTTGAGTTAGAAGGACTTCCTGTTCCATGGCGAAGTGTTGAGGTTTGTCATGCCGCCACAGACACACCCCTCGGTGAAAACTCGAAATCTTCACAATATATCACCGATACAGCTTTCAGATGACACCACTCAAATTTGGTGCTGATACGATAAAGTTTGTGGGAGGAGTTTGTTACTCTGTAAATCATGTCAGTTCCTGTGGCCAGCAGGTGGCGCTATAACTCTATCTGGATATCGATATGTAAACGTGTTCAGGTCAGGACTCTTATCAAGCGTGTGACATTTTAGACAGATCGGACATTGTATGGCCGAGTTACAAGCCAAACTACCTTCTGCCAGCAGGTGGCGCTATGACTATGACTCAATATTATTATGTAGATTTATTATGTAGATGTGCTCAGGAGAGGACTTTCATCAACCATGTGAAGTTTCAGGCAGATCGGACATTGTCTGGCCGAGTTACAAGCCAAACTACCTTCTGCCAGCAGGTGGTGCTATGACTGACTCAATATTGTTATGTAGATGTGTTCAGGAGAGGACTTTTATCAATCATGTGAAGTTTCAGGCAAATCGGACATTGTATGGTAGAGTTATAAGGACTTCCTGTTCCATGGCGAAGCGTTGAGGTTTGTCATGCCACCACAGACACGCCCCTCTGCAAAAACTCTAGATCTTTACAATATATCATCGTTTGAGCTTTCAGATGACACCACTCTATTTTGGTGCTGATACGGGAAAGTTTGTGGTAGGAGTTTGTTATAGTGTCAAACATGTCATTTCCTGTGGCCAGCAGGTGGCGCTATAACTGTAACTGGATACCGGCACGTAAACCTGATCAGGTCAGGACTGTTATTAAATGTGTGAATTTTGAGGCAGATCTGATAATGCATGCCTGAGTTATAACGACTTCCTGTTTTGTGGCGAATCATCAAAGTTTGCGAGGCCGCCACGGACACGCCCATCGACGAAAACTCTAAAGCTTCGCAATTTAACATCGCCAAGGCCTTTAGATGATAAAACCCAATTTTGGTGTCGATCGGATAAAATCCTTAGGAGGAGTTCGTTAAAATACAACGCCTGGAAATGGCAAAAATGCCACTTTTTCGCCGCAGGAAGTTAAAAATATCTGACTTCCTGTTGGGTTTGAGATATGGCTCCAAGAGACTTTTTCGTATGTTTTGGCATGTTTAAGGTGTGTGCCAATTTTCGTGCATGTGCGTGATTCGTAGCTCGGGGGCTCGTCCATTTAATTTTTCTAGGTGGCGCTGTCGAGTCATTTTGCCACGCCCACTTCAATATTGTTATGTGGATGTGTTCAAGAGATGACGTTTATCAACCATGTGAAGTTTCAGGCAGATCGGACATTGTGTGGTTGAGTTATAAGGACTTCCTGTTCCATGGCGAAGCGTTGAGGTTTGTCATACCGCCACGGACACGCCCCTTTGCGAAAACTCTAGATCTTCACAATATATCATCACTAGAGCTTTCAGATAACACCACTCAAATTTGGTGCTGATACGAAAAAATTTGTGGGAGGAGTTTATAACTCCGTAAATCATGTCATTTCCTGTGGCCAGCAGGTGGCGCTGTAACTGTATCTGGATAGTGGCATGTAAACGTGTTCAGGTCAGGACGCTTATCAAGCGTGTGAATTTTGAGGCAGATCTGATAATGCATGCCTGAGTTATAAAGACTTCCTCTTTTGTGGCGAATCGTCAAAGTTTGCGAGGCCGCCACGGACACGCCCATCGACGAAAACTCTAAAGCTTCGCAATTTAACATCGCCAATGCCTTTAGATGACAAAACCCAATTTTGGTGTCGATCGGATAAAATCCCTAGGAGGAGTTCGTTAAAATACAACGCCTGGAAATGGCAAAAACGCCACTTTTTCGCCGCAGGAAGTTAAAAATATCTGACTTCCTGTTGGGTTTGAGATATGGCTCCAAGAGACTTTTTCGTATGTTTTGGCATGTTTGAGGTGTGTGCCAATTTTCGTGCATGCGCGTGATTCGTGGATCAGGGGCTCGTCCTTTTAATTTTTCTAGGTGGCGCTGTCGAGTCATTTTGCCACGCCCACTTCCGAAGCCCATAATAAACGTAAATTTTCGCCACTTCTGAGGCGTGTGCAAAGTTTCGTGAGTTTTTGGGCATGTTTAGCCCCTCAAAACCGCGATTCATTCCGCGGAAGAAGAAGAAGAAGAAGAATAATAATAAACGGAGCAATTCCAATAGGGCCTACGCACCGTTTCGGTGCTCGGTCCCTAATAATTAAAGCTGCAAGCAGCGATGATAGGGACCTCGCACCCGGGCTCACCGCCGCCCGGTGGCCTCAGGACGACAGAGAACAGCGAACAATAATATTTAAGCCGATATATATAAAGAAGCCGAGAAAATCACAGATTTATGCCAAACTTCCTCCTGTCAGCAGGTGGCGCTATGACTGTGTTAATGTTGATATGTTGATGTCTTCAGAAGAGGATTTTAATCAACCATGTAAAGTTTCAGGCAGATTAGACATTGTGGGGCTGAGTTGTAAGCAAAACTACCTTCTGCCAGCAGGTGGCGCTACGACAGACTCAATATTGTTATGTGGATGTATTCAGGTGAGGACTTTTATTCACCATGTTAAGTTTCACGCTGATCGGACATTGTGTGGTTGAGTTATAAGCCAAAATTCCTTCCGTCACTAGGTGGCGCTATGACTGACTCAATATTGGCATGTATATGTGTTCAGGAGAGGACTTTTATCAAGCATGTGAAGTTTCAGGCTGATCGGAAATTGTGTGGTTGAGTTAGAAGCATTTCCTGTTCCATGGCGAAGCGTTGAGGTTTGTCATGCCACAACGGACACGCCTTTCTGCGAACACTCTAGATTTTCACAATATATCATCGCTAGAGCTTTCAGATGACACCACCCAAATTTGGTGCTGATACTATAACATTTGTGAGAGGAGTTCATTACAGTGTAAAACATGTCATTTCCTGAGGCCAGCAGGTGGCGCTATAACTGTAACTGGATATCAGCATGTAAACGTGTTCAGGTCAGGACTCTTATTAAACGTGTGAATTTTGAGGCAGATCGGGTGATGCATGCCTGAGTTATAATGACTTCCTGTTTTGTGGCGAATCGTCAAAGTTTGTGAGGCCGCCACGGACACGCCCATCGACGAAAACTCTAAAGCTTCGCAATTTAACATCGCCAAGTTCTTTAGATGATAAAACCCAATTTTGGTGTCGATTGGATAAAATCCCTAGGAGGAGTTCGTTAAAATACAACGCCTGGAAATAGCAAAAACGCCACTTATTCGCCGCAGGAAGTTAAAAATATCCGACTTCCTGTTGGGTTTGAGATATGGCTCCAAGAGACTTTTTCGTATGTTTTGGCCTGTTTGAGGTGTGTGCCAATTTTCGTGCATGTGCGTGATTCGTAGATCGGGGGCTCGTCCGTTTAATTTTTATAGGTGGCGCTGTCGAGTAATTTTGCCACGCCCACTTCATTATTGTTATGAGGATGTGTTCAGGAGAGGACGTTTATCAACCATCTGAAGTTTCAGGCAGATCGGACATTGTGTGGTTGATTTATAAGGACTTCCTGTTCCATGGCGAAGCGTTGAGGTTTGTCATGCCGCCACGGACACGCCCCTCTGCGAAAACTCTAGATCTTCACAATATATCATCGCTAGGTCTTCCAAATAACACAACCCAAATTTGGTGCTGATACGATAAAATTTGTGGGAGGAGTTTGTTACGATGTAAAACATGTCATTTCCTGTGGCCAGCAGGTGGCGCTATAACTTTGACTGTATATCGGCATGTAAACGTGTTCAGGTCAGGACTCTTATCAAACGTGTGAATTTTGAGGCAGATCGGATAATGCATGCCTGAGTTATAACAAATTCCTGTTTTGTGGCGAATCGTCAAAGTTTGCGAGGCCGCCACGGACACGCCCATCGACGAAAACTCTAAAGCTTCGCAATTTAACATCGCCAAGGCCTTTAGATGACAAAACCCAATTTTGGTGTCGATCGGATAAAATCCCTAGGAGGAGTTCGTTAAAATACAACGCCTGGAAATGGCAAAAACGCCACTTTTTCGCCGCAGGAAGTCAAAAATATCCAACTTCCTGTTGGGTTTGAGATATGGCTCCAAGAGACTTTTTCGTATGTTTTGGCATGTTTGAGGTGTGTGCCAATTTTCGTGCATGTGCGTGATTCGTGGATCGGGGGCTCGTCCGTTTAATTTTTCTAGGTGGCGCTGTCGAGTCATTTTGCCACGCCCACTTCCGAGACCCATATCGACCTGCTATTTACACCGCGTTTGGTGTGTGTGCAAATTTTCATGAGTTTTCGGGCATGTTTAGACCCTCAAAAGTGCCCCGATAGGGGGCGGAATAATAATAATAATAATAATTAAAGCTGCAAGCAGCGATGATAGGGACCTCGCACCCGGGCTCACCGCCGCCCGGTGGCCACAGAATGACAGAGAACAGCGAACAGTAATAATTTAAGCCGATATATTAAAAAAATCTAAGAAAATCACAGATTTATGCCAAATTTCCTCCTGTCAGCAGGTGGCGCTATAACTGTGACTCATGATTGGCATGTAGATGTCTTCATGAGAGGAAACTTATCAACCATGTGAAGTTTTAGGCAGATCGGACTTTGTGTGGTTGAGTTATACTGCAAACTACCATCTGCCAGCAGGTGGCGCTATAACTGAGACTTAAGATTGGCATGTAGATGCCTTCAGTAATGGAATTTAATCAACCATGTGAAGTTTCAGAAAGATCGGAGTTTGTGTGGTTGAGTTATAAGCCAATCTACCTTCTGCCAGCAGGTGGCGCAATGACTGACTCAATATTGTTATGTAGATGTGTTCAGAAGAGGACTTTTATCAATCATGTGAAGTTTCAGGCAGATCAGACATTTTGTGGTTGAGTTATAATAACTTCCTGTTCCATGGCGAAGCGTTGAGGTTTGTCATGCCACCACAGACACGCCCCTCTGCAAAAACTCTAGATCTTCACAATATATCATCACTTAAGCTTTCAGATGACAACCCACCAAACTTGGTGCTGATACAAAAAAAATAGTGGGAGGAGTTTATTACTCTGTAAATCATGACATTTCCTGTGGCCAGCAGGTGGCGCTATAACTGTATCTGGATATTAGCATGTAAACGTGTTCTGGTCTGGACTCTTATTAAACATGTGAATTTTGAGGCAGATCGGATAATGCATGCCTGAGTTATAATGACTTCCGGTTTTGTGGCGAATCGTCAAAGTTTGCGGGGCCGCCATGGACACGCCCATCGACAAAAACTTTAAAGCTCCGCAATTTAACATCGCCAAGGCCTTTAGATGACAAAACCCAATTTTGGTGTCGATAGCATGAAATCCCTAGGAGGAGTTCGTTAAGATACAACGCCAGGAAATGGCAAAAATGCCACTTATTTGCAGCAGGAAGTTAAAAAATATCCGACTTCCTGTTGGGTTTGAGATATGGCTCCAAGAGACTTTTTCGTATGTTTTGGCGTGTTTGAGGTGTGTGCCAATTTTCACGCATGTGCGTGATTCGTAGATCAGGGGCTTGTCCGTTATATTTTTCTAGGTGGCGCTGTCGAGTCATTTTGCCACGCCCACTTCAATATTGTTATGTGGATGTGTTCAAGAGATGACGTATATCAACCATATGAAGTTTCAGGCTGATCAGACTTTGTGTGGTTGAGTTATAAGGACTTTCTGTTCCATGGCGAAGCGTTGAGGTTTGTCATGCCGCCACGGACACGCCCCTCTGCAAAAACTCTAGATCTTTACAATATATCACCGATAGAGCTTTCAGATGACACCACTCAATTTTGGTGCTGATACCATAAAATTTGTGGGAGGAGTTTGTTACAGTGTAAAACATGTCATTTCCTGTGGCCAGTAGGTGGCGCTATTTCTGTATCTGGATATTGGCATGTAAACGTGTTCAGGTCAGGACTCTTATCAAACGTGTGAATTTTGAGGCAGATCGGATAATGCATGCCTGAGTTATAACGACTTCCTGTTTTGTGGCGAATCGTCAAAGTTTGCGAGGCCGCCACGGACACGCCCATCGACGAAAACTCTAAAGCTTCGCAATTTAACATCGCCAAGGCCTTTAGATGACAAAACCCAATTTTGGTGTCGATCGGATAAAATCCCTAGGAGGAGTTCGTTAAAATACAACGCCTGGAAATGGCAAAAACGCCACTTTTTCGCCGCAGGAAGTCAAAAATATCCGACTTCCTGTTGGGTTTGAGATATGGCTCCAAGAGACTTTTTCGTATGTTTTGGCGTGTTTGAGGTGTGTGCCAATTTTCGTGCATGTGTGTGATTCGTGGATCGGGGGCTCGTCCGTTTAATTTTTCTAGGTGGCGCTGTCGAGTCATTTTGCCACGCCCACTTCAGAGACCCATATCAACCTGCTATTTACACCGGGTTTGGTGTGTGTGCAAATTTTCATGAGTTTTCGGGCATGTTTAGACCCTCAAAAGTGCCCCGATAGGGGGCGGAATAATAATAATAATAATAATAATAATAATAAAAAACGGAGCAATTCCAATAGGGCCTACGCACCGTTTCGGTGCTCGGTCCCTAATAATAATTAAAGCTGCAAGCAGCGATGATAGGGACCTCGCACCCAGGCTCACCGCCGCCCGGTAGCCTCAGGATAACAGAGAACAGCGAACAATATTAATTTCAGCCGATATATATAAAGAACCTGAGAAAAATCACAGATTTATGCCAAACTTCCTCCTGTCAGCAGGTGGCGCTATAACTGTGACTCAAGATCGGCATGTAGATGTCTTTAGGAGAGGCATCTCATCTAACCTGTGAATTTTCAGGCAGATCGGACATTGTTTGGCTGAGTTATAAGCCAAACTACCTTCTGCCAGCAGGTGGCGTTATGACTGACTCAATATTGTTATGTGGATGTGTTCAGGAGAGGACTTTTATCAACCATGTGAAGTTTCAGGCAGATATGAGATTGTGTGGAGATTGTGTTATAAGACAAATTACATTCTGCCAGCAGGTGGCGCTATTAAAGACTCAATATTATTATGTAGATGTGCTCAGGAGAGGACTTTCATCAACCATGTGAAGTTTCAGGCAGATCGGACATTGTGTGGCCGAGTTACAAGCCAAACTACCTTCTGCCAGCAGGTGGCGCTATGACTGACTCAATATTGTTATGTATATTTGTTCAGGAGAGGACTTTTATCAACCATGTAAAGTTTTAGGCAGATCAGACATTGTGTGGTTGAGTTATAAGAACTTCCTGTTCCATGGCGAAGCGTTGAGGTTTGTCATGCCGCCACGGACACGCCCCTCTTCAAAAACTCTAGATCTTCACATTATATCATCGCTTGAGCTTTCAGATAACACAACCCAAATTTGGTGCTGATACGAAAAAAATTTGTGGGAGGAGTTTATAACTCTGTAAATCATGACATTTCCCGTGGCCAGCAGGTGGCGCTATAACTGTATCTGGATATCGGCATGTAAACGTGTTCTGGTCTGGACTTATATTAAACATGTGAATTTTGAGGCAGATCGGATAATGCATGCCTGAGTTATAATCACGTCCGTTTTTGTGGCGAATCGTCAAAGTTTGCGAGGCCGCCACGGACACACCCATCGACAAAACCTCTAAAGCTTCGCAATTTAACATCGCCAAGGCCTTTAGATGACAAAACCCAATTGTGGTGTCGATAGGATAAAATCCCTAGGAGGAGTTCGTTAAGATACAAAGCCTGGAAATGGCAAAAATGCCACTTATTTGCCGCAGGAAGTTAAAAATATCCGACTTCCTGTTGGGTTTGAGATATGCCTCCAAGAGACTTTTTCGTATGTTTTGGCATGTTTGAGGTGTGTGCCAATTTTCGTGCATGTGCGTGATTCGTAGATCAGGGGCTCGTCCGTTTAATTTTTATAGGTGGCGCTGTCGAGTCATTTTGCCACGCCCATTTCATTATTGTTATGAGGATGTGTTCAGGAGATGACGTTTATCAACCATGTGAAGTTTCAGGCAGATCGGACATTGTGTGGTTGAGTTATAAGGACTTCCTGTTCCATGGCGAAGCGTTGAGGTTTGTCATGCCGCCACGGACACGCCCCTCTGCAAAAACTCTAGATCTTCACAATATAACATCGCTAGAGCTTTCAGATAACACCACTCAAATTTGGTGCGGATACGAAAAAATTTGTGGGAGGAGTTTGTTACGATGTAAAACATGTAATTTCCTGTAGCCAGCAGGTGGCGCTATAACTGTATCTGGATATCGGCATGTACACGTGTTCAGGTCAGGACTCTTATCAAACGTGTGATTTTTGAGGCAAATCGGATAATGCATGCCTGAGTTATAACGACTTCCTGTTTTGTGGCGAATCGTCAAAGTTTGCGAGGCCGCCACGGACACGCCCATCGACAAAAACTCTAAAGCTTCGCAATTTAACATCGCCAAGGCCTTTAGATGACAAAACCTAATTTTGGTGTCGATCGGATAAAATCCCTAGGAGGAGTTCGTTAAAATACAACACCTGGAAATGGCAAAAACGCCACTTTTTCGCCGCAGGAAGTCAAAAATATCCAACTTCCTGTTGGGTTTAAGATATGGCTCCAAGAGACTTTTTCGTATGTTTTGGCATGTTTGAGGTGTGTGCCAATTTTCGTGCATGTGCGTGATTCGTGGATCTGGGGCTCGTCCGTTTAATTTTTCTAGGTGGCGCTGTCGAGTCATTTTGCCACGCCCACTTCCGAAGCCCATAAAAAACATAAATTTTCGCCACTTCTGAGGCGTGTGCAAAGTTGCGTGAGTTTTCGGGCATGTTTAGCCCCTCAAAACCGCGATTCATTGGAGAGAAGAATAATAATAATAATTAAAGCTGCAAGCAGCGATGATAGGGACCTCGCACCCGGGCTCACCGCCGCCCGGTGTTCTCAGGATGACAGAGAACAGCGAACAATATTAATTTAAGCCAATATATATTTAAAAAACCTGAGAAAATCACAGATTTATGCCAAACTTCCTCCTGTCAGCAGGTTGCGCTTGGACTGTGTGTCAATATTGGCATGTAGATGTCTTTAGGAGATAAATTTTATCAACCATGTAATTTTTCAGGCAGATCGAACATTGCTTGCCTGAGTTATAAGTAACTTCCTATTGTCAGCAGGTGGCGCTATGACTGTGACTTGATATTGGCTTGTAGATGTCTTCAGGAGAGGATTTTATTCAACCATGTGAATTTTCAGGCAGGTCAAACATTGTGTGGCTGAGTTATCAGCCAAACTTCTGGTTGCCAGCAGGTGGCGCTATGACTGACTCAATATTGTTATGTGGATGTGTTCAGAAGAGGACTTTTATCAACCATGTGAAGTTTCAGGCAGATCGGACATTGTGTGGTTGAGTTATAAGGACTTCCTGGTCAATGGCGAAGCGTTGAGGTTTGTCATGCCACCACTGACACACCCCTCTGCGAAAACTCTAAAGCTTCGCAATTTAACATCGCCAAGGCCTTTAGATGACAAAACCAAATTTTGGTGTTGATCGGATAAAATCCCTAGGAGGAGTTCGTTAAAATACAACGTCTGGAAATGGCAAAAACGCCACTTTTTTTCAGCAGGAAGTTAAAAATATCCGACTTCCTGTTGAGTTTGAGATATGGCACCAAGGGACTTTTTCGTATGTTTTGGCATGTTTGAGGTGTGTGCCAATTTTCGTGCATGTGCGTGATTCGTATATCAGGGGCTCATCCAATTAATTTTTTTAGGTGGCGCTGTCGAGTTGATTTGCCACGCCCACTTCAATATTGTTATGTGGATGTGTTCAGGAGAAGACTTTTACCAACCATGTGAAGTTTCAGGCTGATCAGACATTGTGGGGTTGAGTTATGAAGCCTTCCAGGTCAATGGCGAAGCATTGAGGTTTGTCATGCCGCCATGGACACGCCCCTCTCCGAAAACTCTAGATCTTCACAATATATCATCACTAGAGCTTTTAGATAACACTACCCAATTTTGGTGCTGATACGATAAAATTTGTGGGAGGAGTTTGTTACTTTGTAAAACATGTCATTTCCTGTGGCCAGCAGGTGGCGCTGTAACTGTATCTGGATATTGGCATGTAAACGTGTTCAGGTCAGGACTGTTATTAAACGTGTGAATTTTGAGGCAGATCGGATAATGCATGTCTGAGTTATAACGACTTCCTGTTTTGTGGCGAATCGTCAAACTTTGCGAGGCCGCCACCGACACGCCCATCGACGAAAACTCTAAAGCTTCGCAATTTAACATCGCCAAGGCTTTAAGATGACAAAACCCAATTTTGGTGTCGATCGGATAAAATCCCTAGGAGGAGTTCGTTAAAATACAACGCCTGGAAATGGAAAAAACGCCACTTTTTCGCCGCGGGAAGTAAAAAATATCCGACTTCCTGTTGGGTTTGAGATATGGCTCCAAGAGACTTTTTCGTATGTTTTGGTGTGTTTAAGGTGTGTGCCAATTTTCGTGCATGTGCGTGATTCGTAGATCGGGGGCTTGTCCGTTTAATTTTTCTAGGTGGCGCTGTCGAGTCATTTTGCCACGCCCACTTCCGAGACCCATAATAAACGTAAATTTTCGCCACTTCTGAGGCGTGTGCAAAGTTCCGTGAGTTTTCGGGCATGTTTAGCCCCTCAAAATCGCGATTCATTCCGGAAAAGAATAATAATAATAATAATAATAATAATAAACGGAGCAATTCCAATAGGGCCTTGCACCGTTCGGTGCTCGGTCCCTAATAAACGGAGCAATTCCAATAGGGCCTTGCACCGTTCGGTGCTCGGTCCCTAATAATAATTAAAGCTGCAAGCAGCGATGATAGGGACCTCGCACCCGGGCTCACCGCCGCCCGGTGGCCTCAGGATGATAGAGAACAGCGAACAATAATATTTTAAGCCGATATATATAAAGAAGCCGAGAAAATCACAGATTTATGCCAAACTTCCTCCTGTCAGCAGGTGGCGCTATGACTGTGACTCTAGATTGGTATGTAGATGTCTTCAGGAGAGGAATCTCATCAACCATGTGAATTTTCAGGCAGGTCGGACGTTGTTTGGCTGAGTTATAAGCCAAACTTCCTGTTGCCAGCAGGTGGCGCTTTGACTGTCTTAATGTTGGTATGTTGATGTCTTCAGAAGAGGATTTTAAGCAATCATGTGAAGTTTCAGGCAGATTAGACATTGTGGGGCTGAGTTGTTAGCAAAACTACCTTCTGCCAGCAGGTGGCGCTATGCCAGACTAAATATTGTTATGTGGATGTGTTCAGGAGAGGACTTTTATCCACTATGTTAAGTTTCACGCTGATCGGACATTGTGTGGTTGAGTTATAAGCCAAAATTCCCTCCGTCACTAGGTGGCGCTATGACTGACTAATATTGGCATGTATATGTGTTCAGGAGAGGACTTTTATTAACCATGTGGAGTTTCAGGCAGATCGGACATTGTGTGCTTGAGTTATAAGGACTTCCTGTTCCATGGCGAAGCGTTGAAGTTTGTCATGCCACAACAGACACGCCTTTTTGCGAAAACTCTAGATTTTCACAATATATCATCGCTAGAGCTTTCAGATGACACCACCCAAATTTGGGGCTGATACTATAAAATTTGTGAGAGAAGTTCGTGACAGTGTAAAACATGTAATTTCCTACGGCCAGCAGGTGGCGCTATAACTTTTCCTGGATATCGGCATGTTAAAGTGTTCAGGTCAGGACTCTTATCAAACGTGTGAATTTTGAGGCAGGTAGGATAAAGCATGCCTGAGTTATAACGACTTCCTGTTTTGTGGCGAATTGTCAAAGTTTGCGAGGCCGCCACAGACACGCCCATCGACAAAAACTCTTAATCTTCGCAATTTAACATCGCCAAGGCCTTTAGATGACAAAGCCCAATTTCGGTGTCGTTCGGATAAAATCCCTAGGAGGAGTTCGTTAAAATACAACGCCTGGAAATGGCAAAAATGCCACTTATTCGCCGCAGGAAGTTAAAAATATTCGACTTCCTGTTGGGTTTGAGATATGGCTCCAAGAGACTTTTTCGTATGTTTTGGCGTGTTTGAGGTGTGTGCCAATTTTCGTGCATGTGCGTGATTCGTAGATCAGGGGCTCGTCCGTTTAATTTTTCTAGGTGGTGCTGTCGAGTCATATAGCCACACCCACTTCATTATTGTTATGGGGATGTGTTCAGGAGAGGACCTTTATCAATCATGTGAAGTTTCAGGCAGATCAGACATTGTGTGGTTGAGTTATAAGGTCTTCTTGTTCCATGGCGAAGCGTTGAGGTTTGTCATGTCGCCAAGGACACGCCCCTTTGCCAAAACTCTAGATCTTCACAATATATCATCGCTAGAGCTTTCAGATAACACAACCCAAATTTGGTGCTGATACAAAAAAATTTGTGGGAGGAGTTTGTTACACTGTAAAACATGTCATTTCCTGTGGCCAGCAGGTGGCGCTATATCTGTATCTAGATATCGGCATGTAAACGTGTTTAGGTCAGGACTCTTATCAAATGTGTGCATTTTGAGGCAGATCGGATAATGCATGCCTGAGTTATACCGACTTCCTGTTTTGTGGCGAATCGTCAAAGTTTGCGAGGCCGCCACGGACACGCCCATCGACGAAAACTCTAAAGCTTCGCAATTTAACATCGCCAAGGCCTTTAGATGACAAAACCCAATTTTGGTGTCGATCGGATAAAATCCCTAGGAGGAGTTCGTTAAAATACAACGCCTGGAAATTGCAAAAATGCCACTTTTTTGCCGCAGGAAGTTAAAAATATCCGACTTCCTGTTTGGTTTGAGATATGGCTCCAAGAGACTTTTTCGTATGTTTTAGCGTGTTTGAGGTGTGTGCCAATTTTCGTGCATGTGTGTGATTCGTGTATCGGGGGCTCGTCCGTTTAATTTTTCTAGGTGGCGCTGTCGAGTCATTTTGCCACGCCCACTTCCGAGACCCATATCAACCTGCTATTTACACCGCGTTTGGTGTGTGTGCAAATTTTCATGAGTTTTCGTGCATGTTTAGACCCTCAAAAGTGCCCCGATAGGGGGCGGAATAATAATAATAATAATAATAATAATAATAATTAAAGCTGCAAGCAGCGATGATAGGGACCTCGCACCCGGGCTCACTGCCGCCCGGTGGCATCAGGATGACAGAGAACAGCAAACAATATTAATTTAAGCCGATATATATAAAGAACCTGAGAAAATCACAAATTTAAGCCAAACTTCCTCCTGTCAGTAGGTGGTGCTATGACTATGACTTAAGATTGGCATGTAGATGCCTTCAGTAGAGGAATCTTATCAACCATGTGAATTTTCAGGCAGGTCATACATTGTGTGGCTGAGTTATAAGCTAAACTACCTTCTGCCAGCAGGTGGCGCTATGACTGACTCAATATTGTTATCTGGATGTGTTCATGGGAGGATTTTTATAAACCATGTGAAGTTTCAGGCTGATCGGACATTGTATGGTCGAGTTATAAGGTCTTCCTGTTCCATGGCGAAGCGTTGAGGTTTGTCATGCCGCCACGGACACGCCCCTCTCCGAAAACTCTAGATCTTCACAATATATCATCGCTAGAGCTTTCAGATAATTTTGGTGCCAATTTTGGTGCTGATACGATAAAATTTGTGGCAGGAGTTTGTTACTCTGTAAAACATGTAATTTCCTGTGGCCAGCAGGTGGCGCTATAACTATCGGCATGTAAACGTGTTCAGGTCAGGACTCTTATTTAGCGTCTGAATTTTGAGGCAGATCGAATAATGCATGACTGAGTTATAACGACTTCCTGTTTTGTGGCGAATCATCAAAGTTTGCGAGGCCGCCACAGACACGCCCATCGATGAAAACTCTAAAGCTTCGCAATTTAACATCACCAAGGCCTTTAGATGACAAAACCTAATTTTTTTGTCGATCGGATAAAATCCCTAGGAGGAGTTCGTTAAAATACAACGCCTGGAAATGGCAAAAACGCCACTTTTTCGCCGCAGGAAGTCAAAAATATCCAACTTCCTGTTGGGTTTGAGATATGGCTCCAAGAGACTTTTTCGTATGTTTTGGCATGTTTGAGGTGTGTGCCGATTTTCGTGCATGTGCGTGATTCGTGGATCGGGGGCTCATCCATTTAAATTTTCTAGGTGGCGCTGTCGAGTCATTTTGCCACACCTCTTTTCGAGACCCATAATAAACGTAAATTTTCGCCACTTCTGAGGCGTGTGCGAAGTTTCGTGAGTTTTCGGGCATGTTTAGCCCCTCAAAACCGCGATTCATTCCGCGGAAGAAGAAGAATAATTAAAGCTGCAAGCAGCGATGAAAGGGACCTCGCACCCGGGCTCACCGCCGCCCGTTGGCCTCAGGATGACAGAGAACAGCGAACAATATTAATTTAAGCCGATTTATATAAAGAACCTGAGAAAATCACTCATTCATGCCAAACTTCCTCTTGTCAGCAGGTGGCGTTATGACTCTGACTCAAGATTTGCATGTAGATGCCTTCAGTAGAGGAATCTTATCAACCATGTGAATTTTCAGCCAGATCGGACATTGTTTAGCTGAGTTATATGTAATTTCCTGTTGCCAGCAGGTGGCGCTATGACTGTGACTCGATATTGGCATTTAGATGTCTTCAGGAGAGGATTTTAATCAACCATGTAAATTTTCAGGCTGGTCAGACTTTGTGTGGCTGAGTTATAAGCCAAACTATCTTCTGCCAGCAGGTGGTGCTATGACTGTGACTCAATATTGCAATGTAGATGTCTTCAGTAATGGAATTTAATCAACCATGTGAAGTTTCAGGCAGATCGGAGTTTGTGTGGTTGAGTTATAAGCCAATCTACCTTCTGCCAGCAGGTGGTGCTATGACTGAACCAATATTGTTATGTAGATGTGTTCAGAAGAGGACTTTTATCAATCATGTGAAGTTTCAGGCAGATCAGACATTGTGTGGTTGAGTTATAATAACTTCCTGTTCTATGGCGAAGCGTTGAGGTTTGT